TTACACACACACACATTATATGTTAAAAATCAGCTATTGGAATCATTCAGGAGACTACTTGCTGTGATAAGAATAGATTAAGTATGTGGTATACATCTGAGAGCACTTGTCTTTCTCCTGGATCTGAGAAACTCCCTGCTACTTCTGTTTCTGCAGTGCAGCGTCAAGCCCAGGACTGGGCTAGGCCCTCCTTTGCTGAATCAGTCATGTCACTGCTACGGATTCCCTATTTCTCCTTCTTGGATTTCCTGGGACTAGACTGAGACATATGGGGCTAGGAAGCCGTTTTGGCAGTCAGGGTCAGGAGAGGTTCACAAACCAGACTGCTGGTGTGGAAGCAGCTGCCTGAGCAGCAGCCAAGATTCTTACTCATGTCACTTGTTGATTATTTACTCCTGGCCCTTGCTGGCTTCTCTACCCAGTTTCCCTGTCCTGGACTCACTGGATGGCATAGCACACTAAATTTCAAGGCTACTGTTGCAATATAAAGTCCCAAAGATCTAGTGATAAACCCCAAACACTTCCTTTTCATCTTTCCCGAGATGTGCGTTGTTTCATTCTCTAAAAGGTTAGATCTTCAAGGCTCCCCCTGGCTGTTTCATCTGGGGAGCAGGGGAAGAAAAGGGTGCTCTGACTGAGAAAAAAACAAAGGTATTAGATCAACTTGGCCACACTGGGGTAGGGTCAGGGCCAGATCTGTTGGCACACACTCCTGGACTGGCAAGGACTGGCAAGGACTTTGTGGGATGCTGGTCTGTGCCACAGATGGTGTCAGCAGCAACAGCAGCCCTGTTTGTTCTTCAGCCCCTGTCCTCTGGAACACACATGCTTCCTTCTGAGCATGCCTGTCCAGGCGGAGGTCCATTCCACTTTGGAGCAGCACAGTGTGAGCCGAAGGAGGACTTGCCCCTAAGAGACCCTTCTCTTCTCTGTTCTCCTCGTTACTCCATACCTCCCTGTTTCCAAATCCATTCTCTCACCCTCTCCCACCCCAGGAGTATAATAATAGTTGTCCAAGTGAAGTGTAACTGTCATATAAACAGATGGCTTAGTGATAATAAATATTGAATCATTTTCAGACTCTTCATTTCCATAGTTTCCAACAGAACTGCAGTTTAATTCTAATTCTGTGGTTGGAAAGGGTCTGGGATGTGTGGCTGGTAGACAGGTGGAATAGATGCAGAGTATGTCCAACCCAAGAGCGCTTTATAAACACTTAGGTGGAACTGACAACTGTAACAGGACCTGAAGGCCTGTTTCCTGCCACAGTTGCTCTTCTTCATTAGGAGATACATTTCCACCAGCCGTTTTAAGAAATACCTGTGTTGTCATTGTCATTGAAATTCTGAGAGAAAAGTGGATAGTGCTTTTCGTTATGGTCACCATGCCCACAGACCCTGTAAGAGCCACCAGAGAATGTGTGTACAGAAATCAAATTAGAGGCTGCTTTCCAGTTACAAAGAGAACCTTTAATTGCGTTTTGAGTTCTTAAGCTGAAGGTATTAAAAGGCATGGCCAAACTTGTCAAAACAATAACTGTAGAAATAGTTAAGGTTTTGGATACACAAGCGAAGACGTTAACTGGGCACCTTGTGCAAGGTTGGGGGAGGGAGGGATCTTGATTAAAGAAAAGCCCCAGAGATTTCGTCTGGAAATTCATGATATTTAAGTGTTTGGCTTGGCAGACATGGTGCTTTCTGGAAACAGAGCTGTGGAGAATGACAATGGAGCCATGCGGAGGGTCTGTAGGCCCTTCTCTGCTGTCTTAAGCTTTTTTTTTTTATTTTTTTAAGATTTATTTATGTACTGGAAAGTCAGATATACAGAGAGGAGGAGAGACAGAGAGGAAGATCTTCCATCTGATGATTCACTCCCCAAGTGAGTACAACAGCCAGTGATGAACCGATCCGAAGCCAGGATCCAGGAACTTCTTCCGGGTATCCCACACGGGTGCAGGGTCCCAAGGCGTTGGGCTGTCCAGGTGGGAGAACTGATGGGCCTGCTTTCCCAGGCCACAAGCAGGGAGCTGGATGAGAAGTGGAGCTGCCGGGATTAGAACCGGCGCCCACATGGCATCCTGGTGCATTCAAGGCGAGGTTTGGTTTAATTTTGTTGCTAGGGGAAAGACAAGAAAAAGTATAAAGGTCATGTGAACACAGCATACCAGGAATGATCAAAGACAATAGTTAATAGTTGATGTGTTTAGGACAGGCATTATCCTTCTGTGGTTTCCAGGACTGTTAACTTCCATCGGAATTCATCAGAATGCATCCTTCTGTACTCCTTTGACTGGTAGAAGGAACCCTGATTTTCAATGACTTGTTTACAGGGGAGGCCCGCTGGATGGATGTGTTTATTAAAGCCCAAGTGAAGAGGTACATGCAGTCAGGGTCAGGAAATGGAAGTGTAGCTGCTGTACCTCTCCAGAAGCCATAAGGACAAAGTCAGTTACCTTGTAAGTGATCCCATCAGTTCTCCCACCTGGAGTTCTTCTCAGTTCATCTATCTCTGTAACTGAGCAGAATACTACCATCACAGGGACACACTGAATTGGAACCATGTCCCCAGGAGCGTGCCAGTTAGACCTGCCTTTGGCCTACAGCAGTCTGTGGGCTCAGAATGGCTTAGGCCCCACCCAGCCAACTGCAGTAGAAAACCCTGGTCTCCCAAGCGTTGTCAAATATGTCTCTCATTCTCCTTACTGTTTACTCTTAGTGGACCTTGGGTTCCTGGGCTAAAGCATTTTCCTTCTCCCATATCTTTGCTTCTATGTTTCATTCTTCCAGGACCGTTTAATGAAAAGGAGAGTGGTTCACAGAGCAATGTGAATGGAGATGGGGAGCGACCACAAGACTAGGACATGATTCTGATTACAGTACCCAGATACTCAAATCACTGATGAACCAGAATTTGCCCTGAGGATAGAAAGATATTTCACTTCCATTGGCAAGGCTGTGCCTTGCCCAAAGAGTAAGACAGTCACAGAGCTTCAACACCAATCCTGTGTGACACTGAGATTTTAGTCCAAGGTATAGTTTAGATGGAATCTCTGAGTTATCCAACTACTAAGACACATGGTCAAGAGAAGTTTCCGGATTTTTGATGAGATTGTCAAAAGTTTACTCCTCTCATCTTGTTAACATGGACTGTTTCACATGCTAACTGAAGAGATGAAGGAATTTCAGGTGCATAGACAGAACTGGGTCCTTCTTGCAAGGCCTGATGGATGGTGTAGTAGGAACCAGTCATGAGTATAAACGATCCTAGAGAATAGAGTCTCTGGATTGATTTGGGGTTCTTGTGCTACTTGTTTGTTGATCTGTAGCCTGGATGTTGGATTAGAGAGTTCGCTAGGTCAGTTTTCTAGATGGTAGGAGCTACATGGAAATGGTGACGTTAACTAGAGGAGATCATAGAATAATGCCATCCATTCTGCATAGCTACACTTGTGTACAAAATGGCTACATGTTGGTAGCAAGGAGTGCCCCTTCCATCCCCTTTTCCTGCAGATATAGGAGAAAGAGACTCTATGATGGACTATGTCAATCAGTGGATTCTTCAAGGACCGCATAGTGCTTGGAGTGGCAAGATTGGCAGCGATTCATAACTGTTGAACTATCAAAACCACTTGAGCAAGAACCTCAGAGCATGCCCTACATCCGGGATCTGGGGAGGGTGGGAAATTGGGTGAACCTTTTTACGCTTAATACCCCCCTTTAAACATGAAGGAAACAATATGGAAAAAAATAATAGTGTTACACACTTTCCTGTAGCCCTTGAACCTTTTTACCCTAATTAACTATGTAAAGATTGTCAAAAAAAAAAAAAAGAAAACAATTGGAAACATTTATCCAACCCACCTTCCTCCATGTCTCCACCCTCCCCACATTGCTTACTATGTAAACAACATAACAATGAAATGAAATATAAAATGGAATGGCTGTGAATAGACAGATGTAACACATCTGGGATTGAGGGTGAGGCAAATGTGCTTCAGCAGTGAAGGGTCTGAGTCCAAATTTTAGTTGTTGGGAGGCAGTGCCCACTGTTCTCACTGTTCAGATCTTTTCTTGGAATATGTTTGGTTCCCAAATCTTGGGGCTGATATATCTATGTGTAGCTGTGGAGATCTATCCATTGATAAAGGCTTAGGGAACTCATAGAAGATAAATTAGAATCTGTAAATACCAGGTCCAGCACAGTAGCCTAGCAGCTAAAGTCTTTGCCTTGAATGTGCCGGGATCCCATATGGGTGCTGGTACTAATCTCAGTGGCTCTGCTTCCCATCCAGCTCCCTACTTGTGGTCTGGGAAATCAGTAGAAGATGACCCAAAGCCTTGGGATCCTGCACCCATATGGAAGACCCAGAAGAGGCTCTGGGCTCTTGGCTTCAGATCGGCTTAGCTCCAGCCATGGCAGCCGCTTGGGGAGTGAATCATCAGAGGGAAGATCTTCCTCTCTGTCTCTCCTTCTCTCTCTATATCTGGCTTTGCAATAAGAATAAATAGCTCTTTAAATAAGAAAAATTCATAAATATCTTTTAGCATGTGAAAATCTCTCACCACGAAACGGGACCCAGCTCTTACTAACCTTCACTGATCATGAGTTGTGACAGCTTCTGGTTATACACAGGAATGCTTGCCTGGTAGTGAAAGTCATCAAGTAGTACCAAGAGGTATTGAGGAATGCGTCTGATGTACTGATGAGATTATCAAAATGCTTTTTCCCAGCTAACATGAATTAGGTCCATTTCCGTGATCCTGCTTGATGGCTGGGTGGAGGAATTGATGAATATTTTGAGTCTTTGTTCTAACCCAGATTGTCTGAGCCCTGTCGGCTGACACCACTTGACTTTACACCCTCCGAACATCTCCCATCCAGGAACTAGGCCCACATTCTGTTTTCCAATGCCCTCTTTTCCAGGTCACAGATTGGCAAGGGGGTGTTTAGATACACTGATGTCATCTGATTGTGCTTCTTTGTTCTCTTCTCTCTTGCAGTATGAGTTTAAAGCCAAGAACATCAAGAAAAAGAAAGTAAGCATTATGGTTTCAGTGGATGGTGTCAAGGTGATTCTGAAGAAGAAGAAAAAGGTAAGTAACTTTGAATAACTGTGGTGGAGAGGGAAGCAGGGAGAATAGATATGGGATACCTTTTTCTCCCAGGCTACTCTCTTGACGGAATAACCTGCTTCTATGGTGAGGTCTTCTGTTTTGATGAACAGAGGATATAGTAGAGCAAGGGTAAGGCAGGTTCCAGAGACTCGATCAGATGGTTGCTCAGTCAGTTCTGGTATCTACATCACAGATGATGGATGATGGGTCATCTCTCATCCTTGCATTCCAACTTCCTCTTTAACATTCTGATATCCTTACCTTTACATTCTCAATCTTGAGGAAATAGTTCCAATTTAAGCAATAATAATCACTGGATTCGGTGGGGGAGCGGACATGAGGAAGCTCTTCAGCAATTGCCCCCACTGGAACAACCCTCAATCCTAACGCCACTGCCAGGTAGCCCCCATAGTGTGTCCTGTGCCCTCGTGGTATACTTGCTGCTGCCATAGCCTGTATTTAAATACATCATCCACAGCTTTTCAGGGTAGGGAAGGGTGGGACACAGCAAGCATGGAGTGCAGCGGAGGGAGGTATAAGCCATTTAGTGAGCCAGCCCCTGAGTGGGGTGAGACCAGCAAGTGAACACAGGTGATTTAAACACCTAGTTTTTTTAATCTTGTTTTTTTTTTTTTTTGCTTTCCATTGTATTGTAAGTATAAGGTTTCCCCTCATCCTTCATTTCCCTCTTCCCTCTTCTTCACCCTTCTGTCATATCCCCTGTACTTTACAATAATCATTACTTTTAGTGAAATAAATCAGTCTCAAAAGGACAAATACCGTGTTCTCTGTGATACAAGCCAACCTTCATACATAATACAAAAATTAAGATGTATAGAGCAACAACTGTACACATGTACCCTCATAAGCAAAGAGTGTAATGGAGACTAGAGTACCAGGAGACAGGTACGTTTTGTGTGTGCTGTATGTGTTCTCCGAGGGTAACATTTACTGCTTGGTTAACATTACCTGGGTTATATTAGTATAATGGGGAAGTGTATTTTCAAGAAGACAGACAGAAGATCCTGGAGATGTGAGAGGCATGTATTTTGCTCTGTTTCTTGATTCTGTTGATGCCTTTGCTTTTTTGGATTACTGTGCTGAAGGCAACACCATAGGCCTCTTGGGTTTCTTGTGGTTCCAAACCTGCACTGCTCTTAATTCAGATGAAACCCAAGTCAGATGATGAGTCTGGGAAGCGGAGTGTGTGGAAGTATGGATGGCAAAGGCATTACTGAGTAGTAATAGACCGCATCTACCTGGAGACTCTCGTGATTGAAGGGTCTCTTAATGAATAGTCATTTGCCTGCCCAAGGCCTTAGGTCTTCTTTACAGTCTTCTCATAAAAGAGGTGATCCAGTTGTGGGATTGGACATCTCTAGAGATAGGGAATTTACAGTTGGCTTTAGTCTTCCCATTTCATCCCTGAGCAGTCCCAAGCCAAATGTGTTCTGCTGTACTCCCCAAATATCTTTAGTGGTTGTTCCAGAAAGTGTTTTATAACTGAGTTTGGAAGTGTGTAGGAAAAATTAGACTGTGATATACTGTTTTTAAAGACCTGGTTCCTTCAACATTCACAAGTGCAAGGCATTTACAGTAGCCTATTAAGTTTGTCCTGTGGGACCTTGGTTCCATCCCCCTCTTGCCCCTGAGATACCCTCCCTCCCTTACACATATGCACACAGTGTGTAGCCATGAGGCAGTTTATGAGTGGTCCTCCCAGGAGTTCTGAGCAGGAGAGTTGCTGAAGCAAGCTGAGGCTTGTCAAATCCCAGGGCCCCAGTTAAAGCAGCTGTGGATAATAACGTTGTGAACGTGAACAAGGATAGCCTCAGAGAAAATAATGGACCAGCGCAGCCCAAGCTCATTATTCCAGGGAACTGGTTTCCTGTGTGACTCAGGCCTTCCTGTGAGGGAACTGGAAGCTCCATGCACTAATGGACCAACAGATTCAACAGTTGCCAATTGCAGGCCCTTTTCTCACAAGATGCTTTCACACTCATTAACAAGTCATCCCTCCATCCTTTCATCAGTCTTTGTGTGTGTCTCTCTTGGTCAACATTTATGACACCCAGTCACCTAGGGGAATTGGTGGTAATCTCCTCACTGTCCTGTTCCTCCCTCATCAGAGACTGAACTGTCAGCCTTGCATAGCCAGAAACTCAGGCTCAGGAGTTTTGAGGTTTCGAACCTTAGGATACTAACCAACAATGACCAAGGCTAAAAGGGGTGAGGAATGAAGTAGGCCAGCAGTCTCTGAATCCACTCTAGGACATCCAAGAGTTTCCCAGATGAGATATTCTTGTTAGTCTGTTGAGCACATTTTCTTTTGGAGGCAAGAACCTAGGAAGGCACATGGCTGCAGAGGTCCTGGGAGGGCACAGAAATGGAGCAAGTTGGCAAACTGTGCATCAGGAGTGTTTCTGGACCTCTGGCAGTACAGTGAATGAATTCACTCATGCCTACAGTGGCCTTCTTGGGCAGATGCTGTTTCTGCCATATTCTTCCTAAGGCTCTCTGACTTCCACATGGTCATAACTGACACTCCCTCTATCTCCCTACCACCCAAGGTATACCTGCTTTGGACTGACATATTTTTGTTTATTTTCAATTAGGTGACATTTCAAGGCCTGCAGTCCACAGGGGTGATCCCCTGTTCAGTTTGGGTAACATGCTAAACTTGTGGTGTCATCCATTGTGGGCATCGTTGTTGTCCTGTCGTTGGGGAACAATCTTATGTATCATGCACCCCATGTGGCGGTATCCTCATTCTTCCACTGAGAGCACTGAGGTTGCATCACCAATGTGTAGGGTGACAGTTTGTCGAGGCCTTACCTGAGAGAGTCCCTCCCAGCTCCCACTAAGTCCATGAAGGTGGAGCTGGAGTAGCACCTCCTGGAAGTAGTCTGGGTAAAGCTTGTGACTTCACTTTGAAACTCCATCCCAGTAATCTCCATTGTGGGTTTGCCTTCCTGTTGGCTTAGAATAAGAGGTGACCTGGCAGGTCTTTTTTCCTAGGTCTGATTTTTCCGGTGCCAGGCTTGGGAAAGGGGAGTCTCCCAAATTGTTTCTTCCACCCACACTTGGTATCCGTTTCAGGGCTGTGACTGTGATCCTAAGATGCCTTTAATCACAGTGTTCATTCTATATTGCCTCTGACAGATGAATGTACATTAGTGGTAATCAGCTTTTTTTGCTCATTTTATTCTCATGTGACAGCCTCTAATGTCTGAGTGTGCTACCAACACCTCTTTCTTTCTCCCTCTCTCCTTTCCTCTCTCCCCCTCTCTCATACTACCTATCTTTTTATAGATGTGGGAGATGGTAACAGTAGACATGAGAGCATGAAAGCACTATTTCCTCTCAAGAGTTGGAAGAATCAGCAAGTTTCCCTGATGGCCATTGTAATCAGGGCAAAACTGGAACTGCTGTGAGTGTAGACGCACCATGGCTTACAGTCAGTTAGTTACAAGTTACTGACAAGCAGCCTAACATATATCCTACTGATTCAGTAGGGATGCTGGGCTGGTTGGCAGAAATATTGAAATATTGAACAGTCTTACTTTTCACTGGATCAGTGTGTCATGCTGGATGAGCCTTCGACTGAGATGAGGAGGCCTGGGTTCTAGCCTTGGTTCCACTCTGAAAAAGTTACTTTACCTCTCTGGTTTCCAACTTAAAGATCAAATGTTGCATTGGGTGATTGAACCTTTCCAGCTCTGCAATTGTTTCTTTTGTATTTAGATGCATATTATGAGGTCACCAGGGCACATCTCAGTCTTTGGAACATTTTTAGAATACTCACACACACTATGTATATATATATATATCTAAGCAGATCACATTGTTGTGTCCCAGTACTCGAGGACACAGAGAACCCTCTGAGGTCAGATATCCTGAGAGCAGCCATTATACCTCCTTTCTGCCTTCGCCCTGTCTCCAGCTGGTGAGTGGTAGGGTGCGTCCTGCAAGGAAAGCCAAATGTTTTTGCAAGGAGGCCCTGCCCTCCAGTGAACTTTTTAAGGGCAGAGACCATCTTTGTAAGTCTAACACTTACCTGCACACCTGTCAGATGTAGTGTGTTTTCAGTAATTGTAGCTATTAGGTAGTTGGGTGAATGAACGTTATTTGTGATAGTGTCATTAAATCACAAAGAAGTACTTAGTGATTGGGTATAATGAAGTCTAGTTTGTTCTTTTGACTATCACATTTTCCTCTTTCATCTTCTGTTTTAAAAAAGGCAGATGAGAGTCTTTTGTGGATGTAGAAAGGGTTCATCAGACATTGCTAATTCCATAGAAAGTACTGTTAGCAGGGCTTGTTCGGGTACCTCCAATCTTCAGGTGCATTCTATTAGTATAAACAGTGACCAAATATGTTGTAATCATGTTTCTTTGAGGTGTAAAAACATCTTTTTTGGCTATCTAAAAATGCTGTGTTTTTGAGCTAATGCCAGCAGATAATGAATCTCAAATTTGGCATTAATCTAGGTTGAATTTGTGCTGTAAAACCAGTTACTGAGATAATTAACTTTACTTTGATGTCTCTTAATCAGTACATTTTCTTCAACTCCCAACTAAGCACAAGTAATTGTCTTCTCTGTATACATGATAATCATTATTTATTATTGTACCAGAATTGTCACAGCATTTGCTAGGGAGGAGAATCCTGAATAAGAAAAATTAATCTTGAACAGCTTCCAAGGGTTTTTTTTTTTTTTTAACCCTCTTGAGGCCTCATTTTTATGTGGCTTCGCTCAGAAAGCAGTAACTTATCTGGGATCCCTTAAGGCAACAATCTAGAAAAGCTCTATCATTCTTATTAAGAAATAACTATCATATGTCCATTGGGTTCAAGGAACTGTAGCATACATAAGGATAGTAGGTTGAAATCCTTTCCAGTAATGTTTGCTAATTTAATGGTGTTAGATACTCATATAGGTCTGTTATGTCTCATTAGAAATTAGTTGTTCCTTTAGG